GGAATAGAAGAAATGTTGTAAATAGAATAACTTGTGGCTGTTTTATTTCAGCCAATAACTGAGGCATTACGGGCGACAGTTTAATTTATTTTCATTAACTTTTAACAAAGCAGGGGAGAAATGACGGAAGAAAGGACGAAGAATTCGCTCGCAAAGCTATGTAAGCGTGACCACATTGATTATGCAAACCGAAATAGTAGAAATTCAAAAACAATAAGAAATGCAAGTTTTAAATATTTCATATTTGTGAGCAAATGACAACCGTGAAAATTAACATTTCATATTATAAAAATTTGTTTAATCACTGTAAACACTTAATATTTCTTCCCTTCAAAGAAAGAAATTATTTCATTTCATGTGCAGGTCCACCACTTAAAAAAGTGGCTAGTTTGGAAGCTCTTCCTATTTTAGCTTTTTCGAATAATCGGTTTTAGCGGTCTCGTATTGTAGTTAGAGGGTCAACCTGATCGCCTTAGCACACAGCTATAGAGCTTAAAGCTATAAAAAAACATTTCCATGATATTTAACCCTGGAAGACTTTCATTTGCATAAGTTTGATGAGGAAACACGTAAGTTTCCGAGATAGATAGCCATAACTACTACCGCTCAGACTATTCCATACAATGTGGAAACTAAATCAGGATTAACAAATTCAGACAAAGCAGAGTACTATCAAAGGCTGCTATAAAACCGACGAAATCACAAAATTCGCCGCAAAGTGACGATGAGCTTCAGTCTTTCGCAATCATTATACAACATCAAAAGCTCCCATTTAGCACCAGCGAGGACTTCTCCGTGCCGTTCGGTACCAGGTGAGGTTTCTGCAGGAAATAATGCGAATAACAGTGCTGAAGAAAACCTGACATTTACAGCTTTGAAGTTGTAAATAATTGCATCTATTTTAAGATCAATATTAACACCAAAAACAATGTCATCAAGGCTGAATCTAACGCAGAATCACTCTTTATAAAAGGTGCTTTTGGACTGAATAGGCAATTGAAAAGTAAAGTCTTCTCTCGACGAACCAAAACTAAACCCTACAAGTATCTTGTCGTTACCGTCCCGCTATACGGTGCAGAGGCATGAACGATGACAACAGCTGATGAGCCGGCTTTAGGAGTTTTCGAATTAAAGGTTCTGCGTAAAATTTACGCATTGGCAACAGTGAATAACGCAGTCGAAGGAATGATAAGCTCTACGAGTTATAACCTAACATTAACATATATAAAGTGAGCATTGTAACCGCTAGAGTGATATGGTTTGCGTCATAATGTTGTTCCAACAAATTAATTTTCTTTTGTATAAGTTTTTTCTATAAATTTTGGATACCGAATGGTAAGGCCTTCACGGTACAGCCCAGCGAAAAAAAATCATTGGCTACGCCGTTTAGATCATGTGATCCAAATGAACAGGAATACTCCAGTTTTCAAAAATTTCGTTTCAGTACCCTCAGAGTAAGAGGAAGAGCTCCAATCTGTTGGAAGGTTAGGAAGGACCTGCCTGCGCTTGATATTTCCAATTGACGCCAAGCGACGAATAGAATGAAAGGCACGCAGTTGTTAACTTTGCTATAAACACGTAAGCGATGTCTATGCCGGTAAAGAGGTAGAAATAAGGAATTCGAGAAGCACTTTTATCGACACCAGTACGTCCTAATATTTTTTTTCCGAATGAAGGAAAGCTGAACTGCCGTTTTATGGGGAAAAGCACTCGGCGGCGTTGAAATTCTTTACCTTAAAGGAACCGAATTATTTCAGCAAGAATATCGATTTTACGCACTCGATGTTCGCATGGTTCTATCACTAGTCAATTAGTGTGTTGTTGGGTGAAAATTGGTTTCTAGAATGTGCACTAGTAGTAATAGGTATAATGATAAGTGTCATGGTTTTGAAGATTTGAAGAATTTATTTATCACGCTATCATAAATTTTAGTTTTTCGCTAAAACTTTTGTAATGAAATACAAAAAAAAAAAACTCGAAAAAATTTCAAATTTTTCAAAAAACATATTTGACTTCGGCTAGTACTAGAAGAACAAGAATATTTTTTCGCTTAAAATTTTTCCACCATCAACATAAAATATGTACATAAATGTATTTCTATACATATATATACAAACATATGTACCTGCGTAAGCACTGACTTCAGCGTTTTCGCTCAAATATCACAAATGTATCGCTGTCTAGCAACCAATTTTCAGACATCAACATTTTAAATTCAATCACAACTCAAATGTCAACAACACAGGAAAATATGTGACTACAAACGAATATGGAAAAAGTGAAGAGGATAAGCTACTCGAGTTACATGTTGGACAATGAGTTATCTATGCAGTTAGCTACATATCTACCTGAGCATTTCTTCTTCTCATCAGATGTCACTGCAGAGAGTAGCCTCAGCGTTAGATTTGATTTAAAAACAGTGGCAAAAAGTTTTAAGGTGGTATATACATGCATACATACATACATACATACATACATATGTTGAAGATTTAGCACGAACATTTTCGAGTAGCTTCAGCCATTTGAGCAACGAGTACTCGCACCATCGTAGAGGTTTACAAGTATGGAATCTTGTGAAACTTTGTAGAAATTTGTCAACTCGCGTTTGCCTGTCTATTTCGGGTGTTTGCCTGCCAAGTTGGCAGGTGAACTAGATGATGCGAACATTATTGGAATGAAGGATTTGCAGAATAAAAACGTAGACAATGAAAGAATCAACGAATAATTAAATGTCATACCTAAAAGGAGAGTAAATAATCTGATAGCGAATGATGATGGAATGAGGGAAGTTCAAATAAGAAATGTGCAAGAAAGTAGGAAATAATGAAAATGATTTAGAAATCCAGTGATCTCAGCTGATTTCCAATGTAAACAAACACAATGGCGCTTTCCATACTTGTTAGCCTCTACGATGACTCGCACGCTCGATTCAAGTCGATTTTATAGAAGGTGAAGTTGTTACATCATATAATTGCTTGTTCTTTCTTCCATTTCAAAAAACTACATAAACAATATACATGAGAAATAGGTTTTGATATTACGAACTTTTTCTTATATTAGCAAAATATATTGAAAGAGTCTTGTTTCTGACTTTTTGAAACTTCGATTATACAAAAAAATACATAGGCTTTTTGTTCTTGTATTCTTGCTACTCCCGTATGTGAATTTGCCTTGATTCGTTTATTTCTCATTACTCGAAAATTTTCCAGATTGAGCGCGAGCAATTCAAGATTTTCGAACATTTTGAAATATTTGACTTTTCTCCCAGAACTTTCTTCCATAATCTCATTTTATTTATGCAAAGTGAAAAATTCATTGAACGACTAAAGAAGTCTTGACAAGCAAATTTGAAACTTTAAAAATTTCATACTATCATTTGAACATTTGAACCACGAACGAGTAGCTCACGATGCTCGATACCCGGGTATCTAGAGCTCTAATACAAACATACATATATATTCTCAATACAAATATATTAGGTCAGGCGATGGCGTTATTGTCCATAGCACTAGTGTTACGTGTCGCAACATGTCGCACTATGCGGCGCTGAAAACGTGCTTAAAGTTTGTCTTTAACAGTTTCTCGATTGATTGACTTAGTACGTTGTGAGCGCTCGTCAAAGATGGACACCAGCCAAGAGAAAAGAGCTATATTTTACAATCGGTGGCCGGTGGGATTGGCAAGGAATCATCTGCTACGAGCTGCTCCTATGGCCAAACACTCGATTCGGCCCTCTGCTACCAACAAATGGACCGCTTGAAGGCAGCACTAATCCAGAAGAGGCCATCTTTGATCAACAGAAGCCGAATTGTGTTCCATTAGGACAACGCCAGATCACACACGTCTTTGGTGATGCGTCAGAAGCTCCAGGAGCTCGGATGGCAGGTCCTAATTCAGACACCTTATATTCCAGACCTGGCACCAAAGGATTACCATCCTTTCCTGTCCATAGCGAACGCGCTTAATGGTGAGAAGTCCTTTGAAAATTGGCTCTCCGAGTTTTTTGCCAATAGGGATGCAGCCTTCTACGAGAATAGGGGCGTAGCCTTCTATGAAGTTGGCATATAGTTTGCAACAAGTTTACGAACAAAACGTCGCATATTTGACTCAAATCGGACAAATGTACACAAAGTTATCATATTTTGAAAAATCCATAAAAAAATCCGAACGAACATTTTACTCGGCCAATATATACATATATGTACATATGTATATACATTAAAGTCAAATTTACTTTAACATGCACACGTTGCCATGTTAGTCCGCACCCCGTTTGAAAAGTAAAAACCGTCATAAGCAGTGTTGATTTAAGATTTTTAATAAGATGTCAAAATGACGTTGAAATCCAGATGTCCTGCTGCTTATTTCTGTCATATTGCTATGTATACAACCCACAGCTTAGCGTTGCCACAAACAACCAGATATAATAAAGTATGCAAAAGCAAAATAATATAAAGAATGTATGAAATTCACTTTGAAGCGTAATTTAAAGTGTTTTTGCTTCAGTCGATTTTAAGTGAGAAGCTTTGCTTGAAAATCTTTATATTTCAATACAAATGATATTTAAATTTTAAATACATATGTATGTGATATTTCATATAATGTGCATACACAATCACACATATTTTTACTTTCATACATATTTATTAAAGCCTCTTGCTGCTGCCGTGCTTGTCTACAGCCCTTAGTCGCTTTTTGAATATTTAAATATTTTCTCCTGTGGATATTTTCGCTTGTGCAAAGATTTACATTTACATTTTTAATGAATTTATGTTTTCCTCTCGTAGCTTTAATAAACAAAAATATTTGTACACACATATGCACGTAGCAGCGTACCTATGAGTGTAGATATGTGCAAGTACATGCGAACGGGAGGATGATAAATTTAATTTTTCCTCTTTTCCATTTTCCTTTTTCCTTAGAACAACAAATATTTATTACTTCACATAAATTCATTTTCTAATACAAAAAAAAATATTTATTTTTTATCACAATTTCAGGATGGCGCGATTCTCTTCTATCGATACCAAAAAAATGGCTTTCCACTGCGGAGTCCGTCGACGAATTTGGCTTTCCCTGCGTAAGTATATTTTTAAAAGAAAAACTTTCTTTATTGGAAATTAATTTTTATCTACTACAAGGGACTTTTTACTATTTTTTGGGGTAGCTTACAGGTAATTTCTTCAGAATGCAATATATGTAGCTTCTCGACCAAGAACCTGGTCAAATTTTTTTGCCATCAAGAGAGTTTCACAGAGGCCGAAACGAATGATAGTACTTAAACCGCCCTATGCGGTGAGTGCATTAAAACTTCCCCTCGCAGCTCCGTTAATTTAAATTGAAGGCTTCGCTCGATAACTTTTTTTTCAATCTGAGGGTATTTCATCCCTCTATAATAGAAACCTTTGTATCTAATTGGAAAAAAATTGGAACAATCGATTTCCACAACAGGCCTCTTTTGAGGCCAATTCTTCACCAGCCGAAACATTCGCCATAGACAGAAACAGATGGTAATCACTTATTATGAAGTCCAAACAATGAGATGGACACATAAAATCCTCTCAACTAAGCGCTCGGAGCTTCTGGCGAGTATCGCTACAGATGTAGTAAGCTGGTTAATTGCATACTGTAGGGCTCAGAATAGATCGTTTCGCTTTTTTATAACAACACATAACAACTCCAATCCCATCACGCCTTCAGCGTCAGGCTTTCCTGCCGTTCGTGAAGTGTGACTGATGAGTCGCTTCGGAAATGGTTTGATTTTGTCTCGTTTCAGATGCATTTCACTAACGGCAATGCGGTCAATAAAATGTTTGCATTAATTCGTGTGGCATCTAAACATCGATGTTATTGAATCAGCCCATATTTTTAAATTAATGAAAAATTATTCTGGACACGTTGGGGAAGCCTAACGCCTCGACTATCTCTTGACAACTGGCGCACCGGTCGTTCTCCACCATTTGCATAGTTTCGTTGGCTTTCAAAGTAACGGGCCGACCAGAAGCTGATGCATCTTTAATATCAAAATTAATTTGACTTTCAAAAGGTCTTTTTCGGACGTTTATAATATTTAGATATTTTTTAAGTTGCTAGAGGCAGGCACCAGTAAACTCTTTTAAGTGGAGATCACAACTCTTGCATATTTCACATAATGCACGTAATATGTGACCTATGTAGTGTAATGTGTGGCCTTGCTCTAGATTGCTTTCAATTTTTCCCCGATGACATTTGGTTTTACGGCATTTTCATATACGATGAACTTGAAAATTGCAATGGAATTGGCATACGCAGTTGTTATGTTAAGTTATATAGGCTGGGCCATATAATGTTTGTTTGTTTTTTTTTTTACTGTTAATGGGAAATACTGAACACTTTCTTCAAAAATGGCGACTCTTCAACTAGAACTGCAAGAAAACATTACGAAATAACTCGCTTTCCAAGCAGTTCGGGAAACCACTAGCGTTGCAAGCTCGTCATCCCGATCTGTTTTCGGACAAAACGATCTTACGTACGTGCTCGTTCTGTGCCACGGCCACCATATGAAGTCCACATTGTCCAAGAACTGAAGCCTCATAATCCGATGAAATTTCGCTTCGCTGATGAATTCTAACGAATTTGTGGCCGTGACTTAGTACTTTGCCCCAAAGTAACCTATTTTAACTTTTGCATATTGTTTTCGGTAGGAATTTTGAGCTTCCAATTTAAAGCAATTTTTTCACCATGCTTCGAACTCATGACTCTCCGCATGGGAGTGTGCACTGCAGACTACTATAAAAATATTTAATTGATTTATTTAAAGAATACAAGTATCTGCAAATATTTCAGTCATACATACATATATAATATATAATATGTATGTATGTATGTATAATAAACCAGCCCTTATGTACATATTCCGCATTCAATTCCTTTTAAGCTAACAAATCTTCTATGTCAACATCGGGCTAAACAAATACGCTACCTCAATACGCTACAAAAGTTCTGAGATATTCCTACAGACATACATACATACAAAGCACGTCTCAACCCCAAAAGGTTTGTTCAACCAAACAATTGCCGATGCCGTCAATGTTTCAGTGAACAAATACAAATACACGTACATATAAACACAACTAATCCTGTTTATTATAATTAGTAATGCAAATAATGAAAAATTTATGTATACAAATATATATATATATATAAATGTATGTATGTATAACTCAGTCTAACAGTGAACTCATCAATCCACCCGCTTTCGCATTTTATTGCTGTGTTAGAAATTGAATTTAATGGATTTACCTTTATTTGAAAATACGTTGGCTTGAACTTGACAACTTGACTCCACTCAAAGGCAATCTCTTTGACTCGCCGTGAAAGAGTAAGCAGAGTGTGTACGTGCCTTTCCTTGAACTATAGCACAACAAAGTGAGAGGATAATAAAGTAAAGAAAAAAGACTGGTATCTGGCATCTGCCACATAAGTAATCAACAGCCAAGAGAGAGAAGTTAAACAAAAATTTATTAAAAAAAAAATTGAGAAACTGTTTCAAGAATATAAACAACAAGGAGAAGAACCTAGTAAGCGGATAGCATAATCACGTACATACCAGGTGTGTTCAAAACATAATCGGAACTTTCATGTTTTGAAAAAAAGATTATTATTTATTCGTCTTCGCAAAACTTCTCAAACTCGATCTTTGATGAAAACCTTTAGTTTTCGCAGTGATGTTCCATATAGAGATATAATCTTTTTCTCATTATTTACGGGCGTAGGTACCGCTCCTGCTCTACTTGGTCTTTCCAACGAAGTGGAGATGTTCCTCTCTGCCTCTGTGTCCTGTAATATTCTTATCCAGCCGCACCACATGACCTACACAGCTCTTGATTCGCTGAACTATGTCAATGTGACCGTATATTTTATACAGCTCATCGTTTAATTGACAGTGGTATTCGCGATTGCCAAGTGTAAAAGCTTTCCCTCGAAAACTTCAAACGCCGGCTTGCAGAGTTTGGTTTTCGTTCGTCGGGAGAAGACTTTAATTTTTAATTGCCTACTCAGTCCAAATTAGCAACTAATGGCAAAAGTGATTCTGCGTTGGATTTCAAGGGTGACATTAGTATTGATGCTAGTATTGGATCCTATATAGACGAAGTTATCTTCGACCTCGAAGTTATAACTGCGTACAGGGACGTGGGAGCTAAGACGGAAATACGATGACTGTCTAAATTTATCGTCGTCCGCAAGCAGCTGCCGTCCGCAAGCAGATGTCTCAAGCAAAACATTAAAGAAATCACACGAATAGGAATCATCTTGTCTAAAACTCCTTTAGGCATCGAATGCCTCGGAGAGTTCTTTCACGAGCCATACGAAGCTTTTGGTGTTGCTCATCGTCAGTCTAAACAGCCGTATTAGTTATACATGGATGCCAACATTTGGTATTGTCGAAGGCTGCACGCACTTTATCAGTTCTTCGCTCTCCAGATTGATATTCGAACTTCTTTATAGTCGGGCAATAAAACATTTCCCCATCGTTATCGATTGAGGAATCGAGTTTGCCAACTCTGGATATGGAAACATGTTTGCATCATAGGATATTTGTTCACGTTTTTTAGGTTGCTGACGTCAAGGTGCATCCAGGTTTTTCGTTATCTTCAAGATCTTTTTGGAAACGCTCATACCACTAGCATGCTTTTTACTCACAGAAGACTCAACATAGGCTTTTGTTGACATTTCATAAACCTTTTTATAACTAATAATATTTTTTACGCAAAATTTGCTGCAAATTCTTTGATCCATTTCTTTTAACAAACGAAAGTCACCGCACTCTTAAAAACACATCGTACCTGAGTGGCTGTCACAGAGAAAAACAACAGTGAAAACAGCTCAAAGTCTTATCATACTTCAAGGGCATAAATAAAGAGCGATGAATATACTATTCACACATCCTTAACATATTTCAACCACCACTTCCGCTTATGCTACATACATACATATGTATGTATGTATATCTATCCCTTAATTCACTCCGTTTTGGGGAATATGAATCAAATGAAATAATCATTTCATGTTTCATGAAATGAAATCGATAATTTGCGAAAGCTGTCAAAAAGTTGAAACAATTATGATTTAGCAATAAATGTGGTTTTGTGCCGAATGTTTAATGGATTTTCTTAAATATGGACCCTCACTCACGGCTTAAGGGGTTACATAGGTCTTACAACTTAAAAAAATAACGATTTTTGATTTCAGATAAAAATTGAAAAAGTTATCATGACTACCGCGAAAGCACTTTCTTGTGGACGGTTTACTTCACGACACTGCCAACGCCTTAACTTATATTATTTTTCATTAAAATTTTCATTACACATATTGTATTTTTCGTTCATCGATGATATCGGCATTATCTACCCCAGCAACTACGATATAAGTCAGCTATCTCCAGCGGAGTGAATTAGGACGAAAACGAAAATGTTAAAAGTCGAAGATAATTTCGTCTATCGTGGAACCATCATCAAAATCAACAACATTGTGGACCATTCTCTCGATGAACAAAAACTCGTAATCATTTTCATTGTTGTTGTTGTTATTGTTGTTGTTGTCGTTGTCGTCGTAGCGCTTGAGCACAGGTTTGATTAACCTAAGACGCCGAGGTCATCTAATGGGAGTTCCAGGAAACGAGCTTTTTCGACAGGTATGGACCAAAGAGAGAGGGGGGTTAGATGAGTTGGTTTGAGAGGGCATGTGAAGAGGTAGTTAGTGTCGCACGGAGACTCTCCTTATGCTGGGCATACGTTGGGTATGCTGAGGTCTAGCATGGATAAGCGGGAGTTTAACCTGCTACAGTATCCAGACCTGAGTTCTGCCAACGTCATGCGGGTCTTTCGAGGCAGATCGAGCTCGATGTACTCCCAGTACGTCATTCTCTTAAATAGAGTCTTTAAAAGTGTTGACTGACTCCTGATGAATGGCTTTCAGTACTTGTCTATACGCCGTTCTGTCCAGCGGTTGTTGCACATGTTGCCGGAATGTGTCCTTTGTGTTCGGAGTTCTGGAAAGCCTGTAGCTTCTTCATCTGCGTCTCCCGGCGCCCAGATCGGTGTAGCCTTGTTTACGACAGCCGGTTCTACGTACCGGAGTTGACCGGAGTTATATCCGGCCAAGGGCTGTCACCCTTTCAACAGGTAACATTAATCATTTCCGTCCTGATGAGTCGGTATGGCGAGTCTTGGAGAAAAAATTTTGTGGAAGATTTATGGTTATTGAAGCATGACGCTGACGATAGAACGATCAGCTATATGAGATATACGTCGTCATTGACATAGTTCAGCTAATTAAGACACAGCGGCTGCAGTAGTTAAGTTTAGAATAGCATCTTGCATCTAAGGGTTAAAAGTGACTATCGCGCTATATTACTTTTCGTATAATGACGTAAGCGATACCCAAACCACTCATTGGCAGGTTTATAATAAAAAATCGAAAAACGAGGAAGAAGTTATTTTGGCCGATTAAGAACTTAAAAGTCTCTGGTTTAAAAATACATATTTACAGTCTTTATTAGGACAAGTAAACCATCGTTCGGTATTTTCTATGATTTTTTCAAAATATGATAACTTTGTGTACAATTGTCCGATTTAAGTCAAATATGCGCCGCTTTGTTAGTAAACTTGTTGCAAACTATATGATAACTTCATAGAAGGCTACGTCCCTATTCTCGTAGAAGGCTACGTCCCTATTGGCAAAAAACTCGGAGAGCTAATTTTCACAGGCCCCTCTTGAGGCTAACTTCTCACCATTAAGCGCGTTCGCCGTGGACAGGAAAAGATAGTAATTACTTAGTGCCAGGTCCTAACTATAAGTTGGTTTCATTAGGACCTCCTATCAGAGCTCCTGGAGCTGCTAGCGCGTCACCAAAGACGTTGTCCAGAAAAACGGCCTCTTCTGGATGAGTGCTGCCTTCAAGCGGTCCAGTTGTTGACAGTAGAGAGCCGAATCGAGCATTTGGCCATAGGGGAGCAGCTCGTAGTAGAGGATTCCTTGCCAATCCCACCAAATACACAGCAAAACCTGGTGCATCTTTGACATCGAAATTACCGGAACGGAACCTATGATACACGTTCATTTACAGTATCGGGCCCATAAACTAAATTAACTTTTTCAGTCTGCGTTTTTTTCGCCTTGATCGAAGAAAAATAAAAATTATGAAATATAATGACTTTTCTTTTTGCTGGTGTCCATCTTTGACGAGCGCTCACAACGTACTGAGTCAATGAATCGAAAAACTATCAAAGACAAACTTTTAGCGCGAATAAACACGAGATGTAACACTAGTACTATAGACAATAACGCCATCTTTTAGATAAAAACCGACCAACTTTTTACTTGACCAATATAATTCACAAACAAACAAGGATTCTAAGAAAAATAATTCTGAAGGTGCGAAATATGTACATACATAAGTATTGTATACCTCAATTGTGCGCGATTTTTATTACTTTCAAACTTTGTTTGGGCATGGATATGTATTTATGTAAGAAAAACATACACTCGTATAGTGATATATACGAGGTGTGTTCAAACAAATTTTGTGTTTTTTCAAAAATTATTTATTTATTCATGAATATCTATTTTATCCCCTTCTAAGTAATCGCCATGAGATAATATACGCTTCGCGGCGACCCGTCTCATACCCTAACTGTTGATAAAAATCGAATGACACGAGCCAATCGATATCTTTAGGTCCTCAGCAACTTCTCTAACGGCGATTCGATGATTGGCCGATACCATTTTCTCCTCTTCATTAATTTTTTCATCTGTTGTTGTAGTGCTCGGGCGTCCGGCACGCTCTTCGTCGTTCACATCTTCTCGGCCTTCTGAGAACATTTTGTGCCACCGATAAACGTTGCTTCGGTCCAAGGTAGCTTCTCCGTATGCCACAGTTAAATTCAAAATTCGCGATACTTTTTGAACACACCTCGTACATCCAATCAATTTATTATTTACCTAAAGTTTTATCAGTATGCATGCACATGTGTATGTTTTATACCTAAAGAAAGTTTTCTCGTAAGCGTAAATTCGATTTGTTACGAAATGAATAAGACATTGCATATAAATGAGAAATTTTTGGGTAGTAAACTTTTTCTTCTTCTTTTGATTTGATTTGGAAAAACTTCTTAGTGTTTTCATACACACATACATGCATACATACGAGATATTTGTGGCAAGAGTTGAATGCTCATGGGAAGCTTTTGCTCGAGTCATGTTAAGAAAAGTGAACTACTAACGAGAAGTATTGTGATTTTCCCAACGATTTTATAGCGATGTATTTTATAGAATTTTAACAGTTTTCGGTTAAGTTTATATAACTGGCTGACTGCTTGACTAGCTGACTGGGTGATATAAGCCTGTTAGTCCTTTGTAGTTAATTTAATTCGAGTTAAAGTAGGCGAAGATAGGACGGTCTTGATATCCAATTTTGAAACTACTCCAGTTCTCTGCTCAGCGAACTTATAAGATATCTAAGGTGAGTTCTAGAAATTGGGCAGATAGAAATGGAGGAGGTGTATAAGCATCTCTCTCATGCCCGCATCCTTACACTTCCTACATTTGCCACTGTTACTAGTGGTAATTCCGCTCGCGTAGAATTTCTCTTTGTTTGGCCTATCGTTAGGGCTTCACCCGTCCTGCAGTACTTTCGAGACCGCCTAAGCAAAACGCGCGTGTATTTCCTTCGCTGCCGTTGCACAAAATTTTAACGGTCTTCTTAAAGCATTTCATCTCGCCTTGAGCCATCTTCCAGCTCTGTCGGAAATGTAGCGCATTTCATGTACTAATTTCGTCGTCCTAATTGCAATCTCGTCAACTAATACTATTGTGTCCTGGAATCCAGAACATTTGCAATTGCTGATCTACATCGACCTAATGCACTATCGTCCTGTTTCTAAGAAGATTTTTTCGTGTAGGTGCTTTTGGTCCCGTTAGCGAGCCGCATGCCCTGAGCCATCCACCCCCTTTTAAGGTGGCTTAAAACCTTCTTACCCATCTAATCCTTGATTATTGTGCTATGCCCGAAGGTTTTAGCGAAAAATCGCCTGCAACCAATACTTTTCATTGCAATTGATGATAGGTTGAGTAACCTTTTGAGTGCATCCGTTGCCGCTCCTGTTATGAAGAGCGCAGCGAGCTGCTGCTATAGCTCCATCGCACGATTGGTTTAACTACCGCTGTGTAATACAAATGCCTCAGGCCAGGCAATTTTATCCCAACTCGAGGCTGGTAGGAATTTAAATTTAATTTTTGATGTCTCCACAATAACGAAACCTTAGATATACTCGTACATACATATATGTATATATTTATTATATCTAATTTTTTTATTTTTTATTCTTTTTTTTTAATAACACTAATTCTATATAATATTAACCGAGCTAATTCTATTTGCTTACAGACACTACCAAAAATACCAGTCCCACCGTTGGAAGAGACCATGGCTAATTACATACGTGCCATAGAGGCCTTCACGCCGCCTGCAAAACTGGAGTGCGCTAAGCAGTTGGTGAAGAAATTCGCGGCACCAGATGGTATTGGCCCCAAGTGTCATCAGTATTTGATGGAAAAACGTGAAGCTGAAGATAATTGGGTAAGTTCACACGAGGAGAAACTCAATATGATCGTAAGCAGCAATTAAATTCCGCAGGAAATTACTCTGATGTCTTAGATTAAAAGATGGTAGATATGATTACATGAGAACTGAGAAGAAATAAAGAATTCTCAGATTAAATGTAACTTTATCTGGAACACTAAGTTCCTTCTCTTGCATGAATCCATCTTTGTTGGTTGATTTGGGCATTCGTGAATAATTATCGTCATCATCTTAGTTGCCAAGTTCTCCCTAAAAGCACATTCTCCGTGCGTGGAATAAAGTGAAATAAATCCTCATACCAAGAGGTGGTAGGATGAGTCATATTAATCCAATCGATCTTCGATCAATCAGTTTTACAGCTTACCAATTAAAAACCTTAAAGACAGTGCTCGATATCTAGGTACGTCAAGAGTTACCTCCGAACTGCCTACAGGGGATTCAACACGCTTACTCTGAGGGTAAATCCGTCCAAACAAAGTATGCGCTGTGGGTGTTTCCTCGATATCGCTTTACCCAGGACTGTCACAAGCACTCTGAGAAATGGGACTTAGAGCACGCTTATTGAGATATGTAAGACCTCTGTGAGAGAGCAGCGTAATTTTCCCGCAGGCAAGTCGGCCACAAGAGGCACCTCACAGCCTGAAAGTTTCTGTCCCCTATTTGTGTGTCTTATAGCTAGCACATTGCTTCCCAATTCTAAGAATCACGCTTTATAAGGTAGTAGCACATGATGAGGACATCACACTCACAGCGGTTAAAAAACCTTTCCAGTTTCAAAGTGATCTACTGCGAAATGCCCTTTATAAAATAAGCAACTGGTACAAATATTGTGGTCTGGTTGTAAGTCTCTGAAAGGCCAAGTTAATACTCAGTAAGAAGCTTTAACCTACTCTACGCCTTCAAAACAGTAATAGCTAAAACATGGATACTAAAACCGTATCGTATACCCATGTTCTCCTATTGTCTGTTAGTCGGCACTACAGACACGCTAGACAAAGATCTGCAAACAACCTCAACTTGAACGCAAGCACTTGAAATTCTCCTTAATTTTCTCTCGTCAGATTTTTATGGAAAAGTTCGTGTGAGCTTCAACGCCATAAGACTAAATGCAACTCAACTATGCATAAGCCGGAGAAGGCACGTACAAGTGTTGAATACTACACCACTTCTATTTTCTGTTTTGACAACACTTCTGAACAAAAGCTCTAGTAAAGAAAGAATTGAAAAGTAAAACAGTTCTGGGTCTAAGATATGTACCATCTTTACTGACGAGTTTACTCTGAACCACTTGCAATGGACATGAGCAAGAGACTTTCCGACCACTGCAGCGGCTTTCAGACTGAACTAACCCTAGTATTGGTTACCAAACTGTACCTTTTGCAATACATTCTGGCGACGAAGCAATCTCGCCACCTCAAAGGTGATATTATGATTCAGAGGAATCCTAAACAAACACTCGACTGAATGAGAAACGTTCGAGGTTTGAGACGCCGGACATAGGTATATGCCATGAAATTATAAGAACGACGATCCACCAGGAATTAAACTCTACACGCGATCCGCACATACCCCTTTCTTCGGCAAAATATCTGCTGAAATCGACCCTCACCAGTAGAGTCAATAGCAGATGTCCGGGTGAACCATTTCGTATAACAACCTGCATATTAACCGGAAACTGCCTGATACGGACACATGGTAGACAGATGTGTAACTTCTCAATTTATTTCAGTCGCAGCTGCAATGACAGACGAGTAGGAGTCCGTAGAGTGCGACCTGTGCCACTGCCTTCATAAAATTATAAAAATGTTTAAATGTGCCAGCAGATTTTTTATTGCCACAATTAAAAGCGGATATTGTTTGTATAAAGTAATATAAATCATGAATCTTATGAAATTGACAAATCAGAAGTTAGGCAAACCGTTAACTACAACTCGAACACACAACTCATGCACGCTTTGCAGAGCTTAGCCTATCGACGGTGGTGTAGGAAAAGCTGTTGAAGTTAAATCATCTGGTGATGGTGGAGCTGAAGGGTCCATGGTAGACACTTCAACTGTTGAAGCGTTGTCTCCGGGTTGCTGCGAAGACGATTCCGGTGTTGGTGGCGGGCTTGAAGGTTGCGGAATATCTGTAGACTCTGTTGATGGTGAGCTAGAAACAGGAGGGGCAGGCGGTTGTGTAGTGGGTACTTCAACTGTTGAACTGTTATCGTCGGGTTGTTCAGAAGACTCCGTAATGGAAGTAGTGCTCTCATCAGAAATAGTAGTTTGTGTTGGATAACGCGGCGTTGGGTATGTAACAACGCCACCATTTTCACTGCCATTACCACCGTTGTTGCCTCCATCAATAGGTAAACATATGGGTGTGTTTTGTGTTCTTAAATTTCGACACTCCACAGCAGGTATATAGTCCTCACAGCTTCTACACTCCTGGTATACATAAACAAACACTTTTCCACTTGGACAGGACAGAAGTCGGGCAGAATTCTCAGCAATACAACGATAATAACTCGTTTGGTCCTCATAATTGGGCCATTTTATTTGTATATCTTGTAAGTCACATTTCGGTAATAATTTCTCCTTGTAATTTTTCACTGCACACGTATTCGCCGTCACAGCAGTCGCTATGGTTAGTGTAAGAAGAAGGAATAGGTTGACTGGAATGACAGCGAAATGAAATCACAAGACTTTAAGAATAACACTTATAGCAGGTTTTGAATATTTTCACTATTTTTAATAGTATTTTGCATAGTATATAATTTACCTTTAGACATTTTAACATCCAACTAGTTGTTTGAACTGAGAGAGACTGATTTATTGTGCGATTATTGCGACGTTTTTATCGATTTCAGATTTTATGACCACTAATAATATAATGAATATGATTCAATTTGAAATTTGTGCGTATTTATAGTAATAGCATATTTTAGGATATACTTACTTACATACATACATATGATTAAAGATAAATATGTTTGGAAATTTGATAAAAATTGGTAATAAATTCTGACTAAGAATTTTCGGAACTTTTTTTTACAACCGACTGTACTAAACATATGAATATATATGTATATATTCAGGGATTAACAAAAGTTCGGTAAAAACAAACAACGAATTCCTTTTGTATTTATTCATAATATTTGTCTTTTGCATCTTCTCCACATAATCACCGTTGATTTCAATGCATTTCTTAAGAATATAAATCCAATTCTGAAAACAGTCGTAAAAATGTTCGAGCTTATCAGGTTTAGCATTAATTATCCCTCGTTGCTATTAAAGACCTTTCCTTTTATTTTTTTTTCCAACTTTTGGAAATAACCAGAAATCTTGTAAAAAGTAGCGCCAAAAATCCTTTTTCAAAACTTTTGGTAAGCACTCTTCGCTTGCATTTTGTAGTTAGTGTCTGACCCTTTTCCAGCTACGATTTTAGATCGGGTGAAGTAAACTGACATCATTTCTTTTGCTGCTAATTTTTGTTGCTTACATTTTACGGGCGAGTTTGCTACTATTGGACTCCATACCACGCATTGCAGTTTGGATTCTGAAACGAACTTATAGAAACAAGCTTCGTCACCAGTAACGACTTTAACTAAAGTTGCTAGACTAACCATTTTCCAATTTGCTTAGGAAAAATTGAGAGATATTCACTCGAGCCTCTTTTTGGGCCTCACTTAAAATTCGTGGTACCCATCGAGCAGATTTCTTCGCCATACAGCCACGGCATTCAAGGCGAATTCATTGCCAATCATTTCTTGTATCAATTGTGGGTCTTCGTCAATGAAATTGGACTTCACCAGAACTACAGTGACGTCATCAGTGAAACATTTAGATCGATCTTCGCGGGGCTCGCCCTCTACGGAAAAATGTCCGGCTTGGAATCTTCGGAACCATTTAGGAATAGTTTCTAAAAAAGGTGCAACTATACCATGTGCAATTATATCTACTTAATCCCGAAGAAAGCCATATGGCAAATTTGTTAGCGTTGGAAGTGAAGTTTCGTCTGATGTATCCTCAGCTATCATATGTTTTCTCTTCTCCATTTTAGCCGATCGTTCTAAAATTTGATAGGAAGACTAATAAAGCAATTGCAAAGGAATTGGTAGTTTTAGATTTAACAAAAACAAATTTAAAGTCTTCAACTGAGCGAACTTTTGTTGATCCCCTCGTATATATATATCTATATATATATATATGTACTCAAATTATCTTAGCTCACCTAACTGTTATTTATAACAGCATGATCTAATCATCTTTTGTGATTATAAACATTATCCAGAAATTTTGCCATAGAAAAACTTATAAAAAGATATAAGAAAAAATTTAAATTAAATAAAGCTATTTAAATTATTTTAGCAGAAAATGCATTCATTCATCAGATATTTCGAGATATTGGAATTCGAAGTCAGTGTCATTTTCTCTAGTATTTTTATTGCACAAATAATTTGATAAGAGTTCTTAAAAATACGGATTTTTAGCATACCAAGTTCTTTCTTAGGGAAAAGAATTGAATAAATTTAACATTACTGTTAACATATTCTATAGCTATATGTATGTCAGGTACGTCATTGCCAGCAAAAAAAAATATTATTGTGAATAAAGTCTAACTCTTTTTTTAATGTGTTCAAGCGGCTCTTTTTCTTCATTTCTCTGGTAATTTTAGAAAACCATCTCTAAGAGACTAGTCCTCTGTGACGTCGATCCAATCATGGAGCCATTTTTTGATTTCTGCAAAAGACTCGAACCATTGCCTACGCAAATCACATTGCATTCATCGAAAAACCTATAGGCGGAAAGATAAAGGTCTGGACAACTCAATGGGTGGATTAATCCCTCCCATTTCAGCATTGTCAGACTCTTTGTGACTGTTACAGCCACGTGAAGCCGAGACTTGTAAAATCATCTTGTTTTGTCTACCAGTTATTTCTAGTGGTTTTTCACGCAATGCACGGCTTAAACGCATCAGTATTTCAAGTATTTTTTTAGGAACTCATAGTACGC